GGAAAGGGTGGGGTGCCTTGGTGGACAGACAGTTCCTCAAAATGATCCGAGAGAGCGGGAGCATTCCTCAAAGCAAAACTGGGATGTTGTCATCAGCAGAAGTGTTGGTGAATGAGGCAGCCTAAAGCCACAGATGTCACTGCCTCTGGAAAACTGGGAATGATAGCTTACCTCTCCATGCCATGAGCTATGCACTTACCACAAAATCACATCTACAGCAGGACTTTGAAGAACGAAACATAGTCCTTATGAGGCCACAGAATGTTAGCTGCAAAGCAAAGAGCAGGCCGTGTTGTCAGGATGCAGCCCTGTCTTCCTATGAACTTTGCCAGTGGGCGAGCTGGATACCTTGAGCCATCCCAGGGACTTGCCCCACCTGAGCCAGGAGCTGCCTCCCTCTCAGCTGGAATAAGCAGTCCTCGGTACTGCCCGGCCCTCAACTATGGTCTGCTAATTCCATCTTTGGGCAACACCTTCAGCCAGGTCTTTGGGTCTCCAGAATTAAGACCTCTTTGCCTTTCAGAAGCAAAAGGCTCAGGGGGAGACATAAATGAGTAACTATTTCTATAGCAGTGAAAAGTGACGGCTTCTAGAGCACAGGGGAGCACAAGGCATCCAGGGCTACAGAGGAGGGAGAAGGGGTCTTTGTTAATCAATGTATTCAGCAGCACCCAGTGAGGACCTTGCACTCAGCACCTTGTTGGGAGCAGGAGATGCCAGAGATCAAAGCAGTCACTGCCTTCAGAGCTTATGGTCCAGCCTAAGCTTCTGCCCCACACCCCAAACCCTGTTGTGTACCTTGCTATGAAAATCCACCAAGTGCCGCCTCCACCCACAAGTCCAGGAGTTTGGGTGAAAGCATCCCAGAGGGTCCTACAGTTTGAGGCAGGTTTGTAAGGCCATCGGGGAGACTTCAGCCAAAGCCAGCTGCCAGAGGAGTCAGCTGTCCTTCCCCCACAAAGGGCCTTCGAGGTGGGCCGCCCCTCAGTCCTGCCTGGGAGCAGCACTCAGGAAGTGTCCTCTCACCAGACAGAGCCCAGAGCGAGCGACAGTTTCTGTGGCTGGAGGTCTGAGAGGCTCATTTTCATTGGCTCTCCCCAAAACATTGAACTCTAGAAATCGCACAAGTGTCAACCTGATACTGAAGCAAACACTGTTTTCTGCACTCCGACTGTTTCAGGTGTATCTTAGCCTCTCAACCAGCCTGTGAGCCGCTCAGGGAAAGGGTACCATCACTATCCCTGACCCACGCATCCGTTGTCTATGGGACTGTCCCTTCATGCGTTCCTTTGAGAGAGGGCCTCGCTATGTAGTCTGGCTGGCCTTGAACTCATGGCTATCCTCCTGCCTGGCCTGGCAAATGCTGAGATTACAGACATGCGCCACCACACCCAGCCCCTCCCTTTACTTTTTTCAGTGTATATTTCCATCAGCACTGGATCTGAAAGGGATGGGGGTGACCTAGATGACCTTCAAGAAGCCCGCAGCCTCTAGAGCTATTGGATTACTAACCATACCCTGGGCAGGGAGTTTCTAGGTAAAAGTCAAGGTAGTTTCTATTTCCCCTTTACAGCATTTACGCTTCTCTTCACGCCTGGAGGGGTTTTCTCCGAAAGGGCAGCTGTCTCCGGGGACACCTCTTGTCCCTCCGCTGTGAGTCAGCCTGGAGTCCTGGCAGCGATGACACAGGCCTGGATTTTCCCGAGATCGGGAACTGCTTCACTTCCCTGAGGCCGAGAGGGAGTCAGGAAGAAAGCAGGGATGTGGCTTTTCTCCTGAGGAGCAGTGCTGTCACCCATGCTGACCAGAGCCGCCCAGCCGGGGGCTCGTAGTGTGCTCGATGAAATGCTGAGAGCCCAGATCTCTCCGCCAACATCTTTCAAGAGCAGCCCCTTCTTTTCCCCGTGGAGAAATAAATTAAAATATGCTGAAGGAACGCTGATGACCAAGGCAAGGAGGCAGATCCAATGGCCCGAAGCTTTAGCGTTTTCTTCCTCCCTGGGTCAGCTCCGAGCTGAGTATATTCCAGGCAGGCTCAGTTGGCTCCCACCACAGCCCAGTTAGGGTCCTCATTTTACAGAGGACAGTGAGGTTCAGAGATGGCAAGGAACTTACTCCTGTTTGTGCCCTGGGGTTTGAACTTGACTTCTGCAGCATGTGGCAAACTGCCAGTGGTTTCTCTTTCAGCTTTGCAGTGCAGTGACTTCAGCCATTAGCAAGGAGTCCAGGCTGTAACCAGCGCATGGTATCCAGCCAGGGCCCCTGCCCACTGCTGTGTTTAGCTGGAGTTCTGGTCTTCACACACAGCTTTCCCTCTGTGTTCAACAGCTACAGTCAACAGCAGAGTCAGGGTGTCAAGGTACCCACAGAAGTTGTTAAGAGTCATGCTCCCTTGTAGTCAGAGGTGGTATTGCTATTGGGTAGCTTGTTTCTAAAAAGTGGCTTGCCAACTAAACATTAGCAGGTTCTGGATTGGTTCTCTCTCCTTTTGGAGTTAGATTCCAGGTCTTCTTGCCTCGAACAAAGAACTGAACGAAACAAGCAAAAAACAGGGGCAAAGTTTATTCAAGAAAGCAAAAATGAAGAGTGGGAGAGAAACTGGCTCTTCAGAGTAAGCTTGGACTGAGTAAATAAAGAGGGAGAAAGCAAAGATAGAAGTACATGCTGCATCCTGGAAATGCAGAGTGGGCTATCAGGGAAAGTTATGATAGCACCGGCTCCTCGTGGCTGCCTTTCTTTTATTCTGTCCAGATCTCAAGGCAAGAACTTCTACATCTGGGTCCTGAGGCACGTCACTGGGCTCCCGCACCTCGGGCTGCCGTTAGATCTAGGCCGTGCTATTGAAAACCCATTGGGGTTCTCACAAGAAGTACGCGTGCAGGGCTTTGGGAACCATTCTGAGCATGTGTTCTGGGATCTTGTAATTAACAGGTCACCCCTACTTCCCCAGCCAGCTTTGCCACACCCTAATCTCTTACCTCAATGTGGTTCTGAAACCCACAGAAGGCTATCAGTTCATTTTACCTTAGAAGAAAAATCTTAGGAGTTGTAGAAGGACAAGAGAAACTCCATTTTCACTGTATTAAAAAGGAAGCTAAGGTTAGAGAGTTTAGTTGCCTTGCCCAGTGCCACACAATTTAGCAGGCTCTGTAGCAAATTCTGAGTCCTTTCCCTCTGACTCCACTCCTGCAAAAGCCCTCTTCTTTACCTCTTTTTAAAGACGTCTTTGACAAGATCTGGAAGTTTAGAGACACTAAAGTATTAATAAAAAATACCTACTGCTTTTATTATTATCTAGCAAAATATTTCATGCTTATTGTATGTTGGCAGAGCGTCAACACATGCACTATTGAAGGATGCGTGGTGAGAAATGGGTTCAAAGCCCACGGGAGGGAAAGGGCTCCCATAGTGGAGTTTCGGGCATCTGATAGGACAGGCGATTGTAAGCCAGAGATCCTCACCATCATGCATAGTCTACTAGGCAGACCCATAGGAGGCTTTTGAGCAACTTGGTAGGGCCGGCTGCTAACAGTAATTCTGAGCCGCCTTTGTAAGCTAACCCACCTTCCAGAGTTGCTTTCTCTTGTCTGTTTAGTGGCCTTGTCTCATGACCCGATCTTCCAGTGACTGGTCCCCTTTCAAGCCCTGGACCAGCCTGCCAGCCCCACAGCCCAGCCTGCTCCTGGAGAAGGCCAGTGTGCCCTGGGTTGTGTGCACAGGCTACTGCCTCTGGACTCTGGCTCATGAGGGGCCTAACGGGAAAGCAGAGCCTGGCAGATGGGCCCAGAGGCCTGGCGACAGGGTGCAGCTGGTGCCCCGGGTCTATGGGCTGCTGGCAGCTCCGTGGGGAGACCTCCCTATCCTCACTGGGTTTTGGGCTGGTGTTTGCCTGGCTCTGCCCAGCCCCTCCACTCCATCAGGTTCTGAGTCAGGGTGAACCTATTCACCACAGATTTCTGTTTTCTTTTCAAAACCAAAAGACAGGGAGCTGTGAAGACTTTGCCGGCCCTCAGTCCTGGCTGGGCAGAGGGGATCGGGGAGAGCCTCTTCTTTCTGCCTCACGAGGAAATGGCCAAACACAGGATCTTAATTCACCCTTGGAGAGGGAAAATAGGAATCCCCTTCAGGGGTGGCACAGAGGCCTGGCTCTCCAAAGGTGGAGAGATCACCCCAAAGGCCCTGCACTGTTTCCCCTGCAGAAAAAGAAAGCTTCAAGTCAGGGCCACAGGTGTCACTGCCCTGAACAGCAGTCTGTGGGGCCTCGGCATAAATCGTCTCATCCTCGGGGCGTGGCACCATCCCCACTTTACAGATGAGGAAACTGAGGCTTGGAGGTCCGAAGGCTGGAAGTAGCAGAGCTGGGATTGGACTGCTGCTCTGATTTCGGTCTGACCAGGGTCCTCAGGGGGCCCTGGGGCCATGTTACTTTCAGCATTTCCCAGGCTTGATAAAGATGCTGCACCCAGGGTCCTACTCACACTTCCTAAACCAGAACCTCAAGGAGAGGGGCCCAGAAGCTGCCACTGGAGAGTTTTCCGGGAGGCTCCGAGGCACCTGGAATCAGAAAGCCCTGCAGTGCGCCGCGCTGTCCGCTTAGTGGGGAGAAGGAGAAGTGGGTGCCGGTAGAGCTGAGGTAAGAGGGCCCAAGTTGCAGGGTCCCCTGAGTGACACACTGAGGGTCTGGGATTTCTTCCGTGAGCAGGCTGCTCCTTGGAGGGTTCCCCACTTCCTCCTCGCGTGCTGCCTGCATTAGCTGGGGCATACGCTTACCCGGCCCCAGCTCTGAGCAGTCCAGGCCCACAGGAGAGTCCCCACAGGGGGCCTGGGGCAGTGTTTCTATTGCTAGGACTGGGGCCAGCCCCTGCCCCTCAGCACTGCCCTGGGAAATGTGCAGGTCCTACACTCAGTCCATGTGACTCAGCTGGCCCTCACAGCTGCCCTAGATTTCATTCTGACCTGGGGTGGGGACCTGGGGTGGGGATTTCTCTGGATAATTCCACTGACAGGCTGGCCCCAAGCAGGAGGAAGGAGACAAGTCCTTTCTGGTGCCCAGAAGAGTCTTTCCCCTATGGCATCCTGGGAGAAAGAGGCGGGGCACTGCCACTGCAAACTAAACTGCCTCCCTCCCCCTCCTGAGTCGCCTGCCCAGCCGCGTGTTGTCCCGGGATGGCTCCCTGCACCCCATCTCGATGCCATCTCCAGGCCAGGGGTGAAGGTGGCCCCAGACCCGTGGAGCTAACAGGGTCGGCATCTTCCACGCAAGCCAGAAGCAGCCGGAATCTCTGTCCACCACTGGAAGGCTCCACCTCCTCCTGCCACCTCCTCACGTCCTCCGGGATACGGAAGGGCAGACGGACTCGCATTTTGAATGTTTTTGGTGATGGCTGATCCCAACAGCAAGTTCTGTTCCTGTTCCATCTGGCTCTCAGTGAACTTTCTACTGAACTCCTTCCAGCCCCGCGGGCAGCTCTCCTGCCAGGAGGAGCTGGTGCCAGGGAGAACAGAATAATTGCTGCGCGTGTTGTGCATGCGGAGCCTTCATTAACACATCCCCGGAGTGGCATTTGCAGCCCTCTGTCACAGCATCCCGCCACTAAACAGCGTGCAATCCGTCACCCTCAGATTCTCCACTGTCTTGAAAGAGCCAATTAGGCCCATGTTTCTGTCAGCTGCAGTTGGCTCACTGGAGTCTCATCGTGGGTGCTGCTATTACTAACAGAGAAGGTTTTCGCCATCGCCTGGCTCACTCAATGGCTCGTCACTTTCCATTTTTCATCCTCTCTTTAGCACAAGGAAGCAATGCTTCTAATTCAAGGAGGTCATAAGACAAGGGGGGAATGTGCCAACGTCAGAGACCTGGGCTGCAGTAATGGCCCTGCCAGTGGTTAGCTATGTGACCTTAAAAGAACGGCTTGTTTCTGAATGTCATTTCTTCAGTTACAAAATAAGAGGCTGAGCGTCAACACACAGGCTCACCAAATCTTAGAGCTCATCTAAACTACTGTCATTTTACAGATGAGCACGCCAAGGCCCAGAGTGGCCGTTCATCTCACCCGGGGTCATGTAGCCAGCTGGTGTTAAGACGCAGGACCTGGCTTCGAGCTCTCCGGATTGGGGTGAGACTGGATGAGTGAGGAAAGTGTTTGAGTCAAAGACACCGTAAAGAGATCCCCCTCTGTCCATGCAGCGAAGGACTAGGGATCACTTCCTTTAAGTCACAGATTCTAGGCCTCAGAGCTGTTGTTCTCCTCAGGAAGAGATTCTGCCCCTTAGGGGCCATTTTTGCTTGTTATGCTGGAGCAGGACAGGAATGGGGAAAGGGGAAAATTCCACCTAGCCTACCCATGAGAGTTGAGCCGCATGACCTAATGCCCTCCACTAGTCCCCCTCCAAGGTTCCACCACTTCAACACTGGCACACTGGGGTTCCAGCCTGTGAACACGGGAGGAGCAAAACATCCAAACCATAGCAGGATGGATCCATACACAAATTTTCTGATTCCTCCAAAACTATGGAAATATGATCAATCCCTTTTTACAAACATGAACAATGATGTTTAACAAGACACCATGTCTTGCCCAGGGCCACACAGCTAATGAGAGGAGGCACCAGGGTTTCATTCAGGGCCACCTGGCTCTACAACTGTGTGCATCCCATGGAAGTTTCTCAGCCCCAGCGGAATCCACCAGGCCCTGCCTGGCTGTCTCTACAGTAATAGCAGGTGGGTGCTCAGCACCTGTTGTCTGGGTGGCCTGAGGCAAGACAAAGGGAGGTCACAGAGCCCAGCCCAGCTCTTTAGCCATGGGAACTTCTGTTGGGCAGGATAAGCTGCAGGGGAGCTTTATGGACGACAGACACAGACATCCCAGGATTGCTTGGAGGCCAGGCATTGCTGGGCCTGTGGGCTGGTGACATCTGAAAGACTAGTCCCCAAGAGTTCCCCAGTGCTGTGTGCCAATTGTGTCACGTAGAAGGTGGGCAATGGGTGGCTCACTCTGCAGACGTCTCTCTCCTGGAGGGAGGGCATCCATCCCGCCTCCTCTTGGCAGGGGCTGAGCACTGGCCAGAGCAGGGCAGGGCTGCGTTGAGCTCTGCCAGGAGGACCTGGCCCTCCCCCATACCACCCCTCCTGCCTTTCCAGCCAGGCTCAGCCCTGCTCTCCAGGGTTCTGAAGTCACTTTCAAATCCCTTCAGGATGCTCCCTTGTGTCCTGGTGGGTCAGGCAGGGTGAGCTCTGTCAAAAGTCCAATTCTGCCAATGAAGTAATCTTGAGCAAATTGCTTGTCTTCCCAGATCCTCTGTTTCCCCATCTGTAAAATGGGAAGAACAGTATCCAACATTGAAGGGTTAAACACTCAACAGGCAACATGTGGGTGCTCAAAATCTCTCCCCTCCTTTCTGGCAGGCACTGGAAGATGATGGGAGGGTGGTTGGAAACCCCGTGGGAGAGGACAATGGAATGGAGATGTGGGAGGGCAGGCAAGGAGTGGCCATTCCCTCGCCTGTGTTTTTCCACCTGGAGGCCTGGCAGGGGGACTTCTCCCTCTAGCTGCTGGCAGCCGCGCTCAAACACATTCAATCATTTGTGCTGCTTAAACCTGCTGTTCAAACCCACTGTGTGGGCTTGGAATTAGCTATATTCACGAGGAAGCAGAGCGGGAGGTTAGAAGGCTCTGTCTGCCTGGTACTTGGGCTCCACCACCACATGGCCTTGAGCAAGAGGCTCCACTTACAGCCTCAGTTTCCTCCCGTGTAAAACAAGGGTGTTAATATCTTATTGGTGGCCCGGATGCTTAGACCCTGAGTGGGCAATGCGGCCTCAGTCTGGCCTGCGGATGGCCTTGGGATTTCAGTCCCAGCTACATACCGTATTCTTAGCCTGGGCTTCCCATGCAGAGTGTGACTGATTTTCTCCGCACCTGAGGGCGAGCCAGCAGGGTGACCTCCTGGCTGAGCGAGAGTGGCCCAGGTGTCAGCGAATGCTTCGTTCCAGCAACAGTCTCCCCTGGCAAGAACTTCAAAGCCAGAGGGAGTGAGTGCCTAGGCAGGCTGAGGAGGCATCCCCTGAGGCACCCCTCACCTGACTCTGCCACACTGTGGGAGGGAAGCACTGGCAGTGGAACTGGACCAGCTTCAGGGAGCTGGAGTGTTGGGGATACTGCTGGGAGCCTTGCTCCCTGCGGGTCCTGCATAAAGCTGCTGAAGGCTGAATTCTAGTGCCTTCCACCAGAACGCCTAGGAACAGCCCTCTAAACTGTGACCCCTTCCTCCTGCTCCCTCTGAGGCGTCACTTGGAGGGGTCAGCTGACCCTCTGGACCCGTTCTCTCCTGGAGCTTCGCCCCCGTGGCTTGCAGGATGGGCAGGGGCCGGAAACCAGCTCAGAGCCCTGCAGAGGGGAGCTGACCCCATGCAGGGTCCTCAGGTCCCAAGCTGGGAAGGACCTCTAGGGACTCACAGTGCAGGAGACGGGGTCGTGAGCAAAGCAGACAAATCCCTGGACAGCAGAGGAGTATGATAAGGGCACAGAACCCCCCAGCAGTCTAAGAGTCCTGCCATGTAATTAGTAGCTATGACCACTTTCCTCACCTACAAAAGTGCAGAGATAGTATCGTGATCCTCCTTGTCCATGATTTGGCTTTCCACATTTTCAGTTATTCAAGGTCATCTGTGACCTCCCCCTGAAAAAGTAAATGAAAAAAAATCCAGAAATAAATAATTCCTAAATTTTAAAATAACTTCTTATAGTATGTTGGTATACTTGTCCTATTTACTATCAATTGTTGTTAATCTTTTGTTGTGTCTAATTTATAAATTAAACTTTATTAGCTAGGTATGGTGGTGTACACATGATCCCAGTGCTCTGGGAGGCTGAAGCAGGAGGATCCCAAGTTTGAGCTCAGGCGGGAAAACTTAGGGACTTGGAGAAAACTTGTCTCAAAATTTAAAAAAAATTTATAAAGGGCTGGGAATGTAGCTCAATGTGAAAGGGCTTCAGTTCCATTCCCCTCACCTCCAATTTTTAAAAATCTGGGGTATGTCTGTATAGGGAAAACAGTATATACAGTTTGGCACTATTTGCAGTCTCAGGCATTCCCCGAGGAAGGTATCCCATGAAGAAAGGAGGTACTGCTGAACAGGCCCCATAGGGTGATTCTGTGAGAATGGGCTGAGTTAACACGAGAAAAGCCGCTTAGGCTGGGGCTGGCTTCTGGCACTTCCGTTCTCTGTTAGAGCAGTGTGTCCGGCTTGAGACAGAGCCAAGAGACCAGGAGGAAACAAAGCAGGGCCGGTCAGTGCCGAGGGAGGGGTCATTAGTGAGCTCAGTGAAGAATCCTAGAGGAGGTGAGGCTTCTACCAAGCCTTGAAATCCGCGCCGCTGGCTGGCATACTGGGGTGACAGGAAGCGGTGTGGATTCTCCAGAGCAGTGAGGTGAGCAGAGAGGAGCTGCTGGGAGGCCAGGCCGAGGCACGGGTAAGGTCGATGCAAGTGGGCAGGGCTGCGGACAGGAAGTGGTTGCTGAGCCCAGACCAGAGACCTGAGATGAGGAGGGTTGGCCTGGGCAGCGGGCACAGGGGACAAGACACCCACGTGGCAGAAGGGACAGGCCTCAGTGGCTGCCCAGGGTGGCAGCGAGGGAGAGGGAGTTCCCCGCTTGCCGCTCAGTGCTGGCTGGCGGCCCGAGGGTGAGCTGTGTTATTCTCAGAGCGAGCAGCCGGGGGAGAAGACAGAAGGGGTTAGCAGTTCCGACTGTGCGTTGAGCACCTGCAGAGTCATGGTGTGCCAGGGGTGATGCAAACACGAAACGTCGAGGCGTCTCTGAGATGGGTGTGAAAATCTCCCCTGAACAGGAAACCGAGGTTCAGAGGATGTCAGCAACGCTCAAGTTCACAGCGCGGAAAGCGCCACTGTGCACCTCTGGTTTCCAGTCTGCATTTCCATGCCCGCTTATGTCCAGCTGTCCCCAGACAAGCCCACCTGTGCAAGGCTCGCCTCAGCGCCTCAGCCCTGAGCAAGGCCTGACACTCCAGTGCTGCCTCCCATGGCTACAGACACTTCCACTTTTGTTTATTTTAACTCAGCCAAGAACTTCAGAGGAGCACCATTCCCGAGGGGCTTGTGCATGGGTGTGTCACTGTCCCTCGATGGAGCCCGGGCAGAGAGGAAATGGTCAGGTCCGGAGTCCAGAACATCTGTGCCCTGTGTGCTGAGGAGCCAGGAGACTGGGGTTCCCTCTGAATTGGAGGGCTTGGTCACCCCCAGAACAGGCTGGAGCTTAGGACATCAGCCCCGAAAGGTATTCCACTTCCGCAGCTCAGCGTCCTCCTGTCCCCTAGAGGAGGAGGAGAGTGCATCAGAACCTCAGGTGTGCGCCCCTCCTGGCCGCTCATGCCTTGGCGAAACAAGAGGACAAAGAACCAGGGGCTGAGTCTGAAGTAAACTAGTCTAGGTCACACAGCCAGAGTTCTTCTGAGATTCCAACAGGCTCTGGAGCCCACCCGGCCCCTCTGGGCCTCAGTGTGGCATTTGTGGCTCTTAAAAACGCTTCACTTGTTTGAGGCTCAGGTCCTTTCAGATGTTGCTTTTTTTTTTTTTTTCCTGTTTCTTTTCTTTCCAGCCTTGGGGGTTGGGGTCAAAGGTGGAGTTTGCTGCTTTGCACAACCACCTGCCTGCACGTCATCCGAACACCAAGTTTCGCTGGCAGCGGAAGTGAGAGTTGTCTATCGGTTAGGTCACAAGGAAGGCAGCTGGGCTGCCCCAGCAAGCGGGCAAGAGAGGCAGAGAGGCGCTCAGCTGTGTGCAGGAGGCGTCACTGGTGCCTGGCCCCGCTGAGTCAGGCCAGAGGCGCTCCCCTGTCCACAGGACCATGCCATTGACCCGCGCCCGAGCTGGGGTGCTCACTTGGGCCCAATCCACATTCAAAAAGGAAAAGGGAAGGAGATGGGAAGAGAGGAAAGAAAGCAGAAAGCAGGCGAGTGAACAGCCTGCCCAGTGCTCACACCCCCGGGTCAACTGGGCCTCGTTTGAGTCCAGGACCCAGGAGCTGATCTGGGTTGCCTGGGGTCTGAAGACCTACAGTTGGGGAACACTGTTTAATGAAAAGAATATCGAAGTATGAAAACAATACTAAGCACAGCAGTGACTATTTAGGAGATGCAGAGGGCAATCACAGCAAACTGCAGACATCCCGCAGTTTCGGGCCTTGCTCTTCAGTGATGTTTGTAAGCAGTTTGCCAGAAATGCCAAGCAACGCTTCTGTCGCTCACCCCTCCCTCCCTGCGGTCCCTCCCTGCGGTCCCACTGCCCAGGCACCCCTGTCTCTTCAGCGTCAGGGGCTAGGGCACCATGAGACCCCATCCTGAAAGCCGTGGGCTGGTGGTGGTCACCTGGGCAGGTGTTCCTGACCTCTTGTGAGCCCTCGATCCTTTGTGAATTGAATGACAGTTACTGGGAAAATGCATAGATACTCAAGGTCTCTAAAGTTTACCTACAATCTCAGGGGTTCTTGGACGCCCTATTCCTGTCCCCGGGCAGGGAACTCCTTACCTGCTACCTTCCTCTCATTTCATTCCAGTCATGAAGCAACACAGACCCAGAGGGCGAGGGACTTGCTCAAGGTCACCCAGCAATCTGGGGCCGAGCCAAGACGGATCCAGCCGAGCCCTCTCCTTCTCCAGGGCGGCAGGGTCCCATCTGTGCCCGAACAGGTCTCCGAGGAGGGAGACCCTGAGTTATGGCCCCTCAGAGGGTTTTCTTGTGTTTTCTGTTCTTTTTCCCAGATAAATATTGTTTAATGTAGCTTGGAGAGGGGAGAGATGGGGACGTTTAAATCTAAAGACAGACAGAATAAGATTGCTGCACAGTTGGCGCATAAATGCCTTGAGGAAGACAAAGGAGACAGGGAGAGGGAAGAAAGGGGACAGCAGGCAAATTACATGCAAAATCTGAGAAAACTTGGGGCTGTCCTGCTTGGCACTTGGAGACCTGAGCCCTGGGGAAACCCCGTGAAGCGTCCCATACAAGGGGGCCTCCCTGAGCCCCGTCCTCTCCCCTCCTTCCCAGCGTGAGTGCTCAGTCTGCCAGTGCTCCAAGCTGTGCGCTTCGCAGGTGAAGCTTCGTCTGCCTCCTCAGCACCCTCTCCCAGGGCTGTGCCTCTGATCCCCAGCCAACTCGGATCTCCGTGCACCTCCCCATCAGCACCTGGCTCTTCTCTTTCACAGCACGGAATCCCTCTTGGCTTTCGATCGACTAGTTTTGGGCCCATGTCCCCTACTGGACCCGAAGCTGGGTGTGGGCAGGGCCTGCGTCCTTGGTGCCTTTGGCCTGGCACGTGCTGCTCCCGCAATCACTGGCTGATTTAAATGAATGGTGGCATCTGGCGGTTTGGGCTGAGGCTCCTGGGACAGCTGCCTGCTGGCCAGCTCCTCCCTGAACTCCTGCTGGGCCAGCAGGCAGCTGGAGCCTGTGTAAGCCTGGAGGGCCTGAGGGGAAGGAGTGGGGTGCCTCGCCGCTCGTCAGGACTCCGCTCAGCGGCGCAGACCTCCACACCGCCCAGCTCTCTGCGGCCCTAGGGGTTCCATCCCCTTTCCCAAGAGTCCATCTGAGGGACCCCAGCCCACCTGCGATTGTGCCAGCAGCTGCCAGCCAGGGTCAGGAGCAGATGGCTGGCCGGGGCGCCCCCTAGAGGACGGGACTCACTGGGATCCTTAAGAACTCAGAGACCCCTCGCTGTCCCACTTCCCGGCATGTTCACCTCCAGATAATGGAGGTCTCCAGAGAACAGCCTGGTTTTCATACCCAGATATTGCTTTTTTCATTGCATTTAGTTTGGGGTAGTTCTTCTGTATTTTTTTCTGCCTGACACCCACGACTTCATGACTGATGCTGTGTATGACTACATCCTAAGAGCCAGGGAGCTCTGATCACTTGTTCTTTCTCCTTCCTCCTGTTTTTCTCAGTACTGGGCTGGCAGGATGATAAAGACACTTCGAGATAGGACCTGTTTTTCTCCTCCTGGGCTTGGCTCAGTGCCTGGGAAGCTGGGGCTGTGGGTGGAGAGCTACCCCCTGCTGGGGACCAGACTTCCCTGCAGGGTCAGCTGCTTTCTCTTCCTCCCCCTCTCCAGCAGTCTGACCACAGTCTCCCAGAGCCCCAGGTGAACTCCCCTTAGCAGGTGGGGGTGCCCGCTCCGTTCTGCTCCTCGCTTCCTCTTATACATTCTCCCGCAGAGCAGGCTCCTTCCTGTCAGCCTCCTCAGGTGAGCTACTCAGTGTGAAATGTTTTGCCTCTTAATCGACACCAGGGTCTTAGTTTTCTTGCACCAATCACCGTTTCAGGCGGATGAGAAACCCGCCATGATAGGACACGAGGCGGTGGGAGACGGCTGAGACCGCTGATTGGTGCTGAAGGGCTGCCTGTGTCTCACCCTCCCAGTTACTCCCAGTGGCTTTCAGCAGAGCCCCACAGCCTCGGCCCAGGTGAGCCATCCTCCAGGCCAGGCTGACTGGTCTCTGAGCAGCCTCCCTCCCCGCCTTACTCAACCGATGACTCCGCCTTACATCACTGCGTCGTGGCTTTCACGCTCCGTCTCTGTCCCGGAAAAGACTCGCCCTGTCATAGCTTCCATCCTCCCAAGGCCACTGCGAGAGGCACCACCCTGCACATATTCTGTGCTCCTAGGAGAGTGGCAGGCGTCATTCATCGGAGTGTGTGGGACTGGCAGGAAAATGGTAAGAAAATCCCTAAGCAGAAAGGAATAGTTGGCCCTTATGACATTGTCTAGCATGGGGCTTCACTGGGCTCTGTACCATCCTGTCAAACGAATTACTGAGTGCCCAGGAGTCCTAGGTGTGAGATTCAGCATGCAGGGTCCACACGTGGCCTCCGGCCTTTACTGCCCTCCTGAAGCCCCAGCTCTGCCACACACTGGCTGTTCGAGCTTCCACATGCTACTCGAACTCTCTGTGTCTTTTTCCTCACCTGCAAAGTGGGGATGACAGTAGTAATAAAGACTCGTGTGTAAAACAGTTACAATGGTGCCTAGCACACAACAAGCACTGTGTAAGTGTTTGCTGTTAAGCCTAGAAAGATAGTTACCCCATGGAATTGAATATTACTTTTGAGTAGGAGCTGTGAATTTCCTTATCTTGCAGGCATCAACCTCTCTCACACACACAACCCCTCAAGCTCCTCTCCTGCCTGTGGAACCATCTGTTGCAGAAGTTAGCAAGCTTTGTCTGTCAAAGGTCAAATAGTAAATAATTCAGACTGCGCAGGTCACAAAGTTTCTATCACAACCCCCCAACTCTGCCATTGTAGTGTGAAAGCAGCCATAGATAATATCTAAATGAGGGAGGCTTTGTTCTAATAAAGCTTTATTTACAAAAACAGAGGGTGGGTGTATTACTTTCCCATCACTGGAACAAAACCCCCAAAGTCTGCAATTTAAAGGAGGAGGGGTTTATTTAGCTCACATTTTCCAGTGGGTTCAGTTCATGATCTTGGCTCCAAGGCAGAAACCACATGGTGGGAGGCTGGTGAAGGACAGCTGCTCATCCCAAGGCAGCCGAGAAGCAGAGAGAAAGGAGGAGCCAGGGCTAGGGACACACCCTTCCAGGTCACTCCTATTGCCAGTATTCTATCATAATTCATTTTACAAAACCTCTGCTTCAATTCTGCCTCTTCCAAGAAGCCTGGCAAGATTCCCTCTGTGAGACTTCACTTTCCTCTCTCTGGACTCGAAAGCAGTGGACTTGGAGAGAGCTTAGTGGCTGGGAAGAATCTGGGTTTAAGCTCTGGACGCTGAGTAAAGCACTTAAGATCTCTGAAGTGTCACTTTACTGTCTGCAAAATAGGTGTAAACTTTCTGGCCTTGCTAACTTTTTAGGGTAGGTTGAAAATCAAAGGGACTAATACACAATGGATGTAACTTGCAAACTCAAAAGCACTACACACTGGAAGCAGATCTTCCCAGGGTTCCTCATGACTAGAACGGTGCTTGGCACTTGGCCAGTGTTGACTGAGCCAAACCCCAGAGCTGGTATTAAGTACTGAATTTTGTTTCACACCTATTAGTACAAGTCTATGTGTGTATTGATTTCCTTGGATAAATGGAGAACTCAAGAGATACCCTGCCCAGAGAGAGATAGGACAACTTTTCCTCAGCTAGATTCTGCAGAATTCTTGTCTACTAGCAATGTATGTCAGGCTACAATGAATGTGGAGCCATGACAGGACTCAAGTGTCTCCAGGCAAATATGACTAGAAATTTGGATTTGTGCCTGAGACTGATGTAGAAGTAATCACAAACATGCTGGCTTAAACCAACAGCAATGTGTTCTCTCACGTTTCTGGGGGGCAGAAGTCTGAACTGAAGGTGCTGGCATGGTTCTGTTCCTTCCAAAAGCTCTGGGGAAGAGGATGTTTCTTGCTTCCTCTAGCTGCTGGTGGTTGCTGGCATTTCTGGAGTCGTAGCTACATCATGCCAATCTGTGTCTCCATCTTGACATCATCTTCTGCTCTTCTTTGTGCCTTTTCCTCTTTGGTCTCTCATAGAGACACTTATCATTTGACTTAAGGCCCATCTGAGTAACGGGATGATCTTACCTCAAGATCTTTAAGGCAATTACATCGGCAAAGGCCCCTTTTCACAAGTTCCAAGAATTTGAACACCTACATATCTTACAGATATCATTCGTCAGCCCATTATAGTATCATATTATTTTCACTTTACTTCCTAGCTAAAATATTTATGTCACTGAACAATCTTAGAAACATTACTTTTGATGGCTAATAATGATCTGTATTATGGATATATCATAATAAACTCAATTCACTTTCTCCTTGTTAGATGTTTAGATTGCCCATGATTTCCCACTCTTTTGCTAAATTGTGTAGGCTTTGGAGTCAGATATCCTGAGAAGAAATTCTGACTCTGCCACTTACCAGGGATATGACCAAAGTTATATGAACAAACCTCCTCATGCCCAAACGGTGAGTCAAATTAACCTGTTTTCTCATTTGTAAAGTGAAGATCATAATGCTTATCTCATGGAGTGACTCAGAGGATCAGATCCAAGAATATATGTAAAGTGACCAGTGGCAGGGTGATTGGTACATTTACATGTGTACAGTGCATAGCAAATTGCAGCCACTCTTGTTTTATTAATCTCAGTACCATCACAGCTAATTCCTTGGATGGATTTGTAGAAATGCTCTTCCCAAATCAAGGTGTATGTATAGTTTCAAGGTTCTTGATTTGTACTGTCAAGTTGTGTTCCATAAAAAGGATAGGTGGAGACATTCAACCTTGACCAATCCCACTTCATAATTACTATCCCTGGGGCTCTGGCAACCACCTTCATCCATGGACAAGGATTTTATGAGTTACAGAACCAGGACTAGGCTTTGAAAATGCTTGTACTTTACTCGGGGCAACCAACTCACATGCATAAAATAAGACCCCAAAATGGAGTTCATTAAATCGGCAAATACTTGTTGAGCACCTGCTGTGTGCTGGCTACTGTCCTAGACGATGGATCCCATCCAGTGGCAAACAAACAGAAATGGACTTTGTCCTCATGCAGCTTATAATCTTGGGTCAGGGCTAAGTTGCAGCACTTTATTTCTGCAGCAGAATTCAGGGAATGTAGAGACCCATGGAGACCAGGTAGATGAGGAGACCTCAAGAAGAAAGAGAACCCAGAAATGGAATTGAAAAGTAAGTGAGGACTGTGAGTGGGTGGGCATGGAGGTTCACAACTCACAGTCTCAGATGGCTTATGAAGGGCCGGGAAGGAAAGAGGGCTGGGAGCCTCCACTGTGGAAGTCAGGACAGTCTTAAGCGTTGGCCTGGCAGAGGAAGTAGTATTTGTTTCGCTGTAGAAAACCAGAGGCTAATAGACTTTCCTGAGCAGGGAAGACCAATGAAAGACATCTGGGAAGAGTGGAAGGGGCTGGATGGGCCACACCTGAAGCCAGAATGCCAGCTGGGCTTCATTCCTGCAGTGTGTGGAGCTATAAACCTTGTCCCATTTCATAAGCAAGGCTATGGCAGCACTACTTTGAGGCCAAGCTTATGCTGCATGGCACATGGAGTCCAAACCTCCTGTCCTATGTCCTCCTCATGCCCTACACTGAGCCCTCAGCTCTGAGCTTCCTTGAGTGCTTTCCATTGCGTTCTAGGGCCCTGGGGGTGATCAGATCCTAGTTGTTTTGGTCCTGGGATTGTTCACCTGGTGTTTTGTTATTAACTTTCTGGGTCATAAGTATCCCCCCAGGCCAGTGACACTTCCAAAAATTTCTTCTGTCTCTCTGTTCTGTGTTCCCCAAGGAATGGTGAGTATCTAATGATTAACCAGCTCTGTGCCCCCTTTGGTGATTAATATGTTACTTTGGTAGGATTTGGGGTGCAGAGGAAGGGGCCTTCTCCCCAGTCCTGCTTGACCACCCCAGCATGTTCCCATCATGGTGGCAAGAACTGGAGGGGGAGAGGGAAGTGGAGGATGCTGAGAGACTAAGGAGAGCAGAGAACATCTCTTCCAAGCCAGCCTGCAGGCCAGTCCTGAGTCCCAGGTTTGGTTGGTAAAGTGAGCAGGTGGCTCATTTAGACTCTTCACAGGCCGTAGACAGAGCCACTTCTCTGCTTTCCTCCATTCCTGAACACTGGACTCCGTGTCCCCTACCAAGACAAATCATACTTGTCTTGTAGAAGGACAAGGGCAAACCCACTGAGGCCACTACATGGTGCCCCACTGTCTGGGCTTCAGGGCTTTCCCACAGTGAGGAAGGCAACTCCCATCCGTCGTAAGCAGAAGGGCCCAGGTGATTCAGAGTTAAAAAGAGCTTGAGATCAGCTGTCAGGCCAGCTTAGAACAACCTGAGCACAAACCTCCTGTACCCAGAGCAGAGTCCCCACTGCTTTGCCAGGCTTTGAAAGCCGGTCTGTGCTTGAAGGTGATTTTCACCAATGCGGCTATTACTGAGCACATCCCTCTTTTATCTAAACCTAGCAAAATTTCCAAATAGGTCAGAAAAAAAAAATCAGTGAGTCCACTTAAATCTCAAACAGAAATAATTCAGGTGGGGTGTGGTAGTGCACACGTGTGATCCAAGCACTCAGAAGGCTGAAGAAGGAGGATCATGAATTCAAGGCCAGCCTTGGTGTCTTAGGAAGATCCTGTCTGAATAATAAATATAAATAAATAAAATGAAATGGCTCATCAATATGTAATAAAAGCTCAGACTGAACTAGGAGCTGCAGATACAATTGTGAGCACGATACACTGGGTACCTTCTCTCCCTGAGCTCACATTAAGGGATGCTGGAGGTGGGGCAGGAGGGAGGGGAGAGCAGACATCAGTTCACAGAAAACTGCATTGGTAATTATTACAAGGCAATCAAGGAAAGGGGAGCAAAAAAATGCATTGGCCAGCCTCTTTACCGAAGGGTGCTGGAAAAACTGGGTATCCATGTAGAGACTGAAACTAGATCCCTGGCTCTCACACTGAACAAAAATCACTTCAAAATGGATCAATGACCTAAGTATGAGGCCTGAAACTTTGAAACTGCAGGCAGAAAACATAGGAGAAACACTTGAAGCCATAGGCACAGGAAAAGACTTCCTCAATAGGATGCTAATAGCACAGGAAATAACAGCAAGAATTAACAAACAGGACTTCGTCAAGTTAAAGTTCCTACACTGCAAAAGAAACAATCAACACAGTGAAGAGACAGCCTACAGAACAGGAGGTAATCTTTACCAGCTACTCTTGTGACAGAAGATTAATACCCAGGATATATAAAGAGCTCAAAAACCTCAACACCAAACCAAACCAAACACCCAAACAATAAATGGGCCAATGAACTGAACACTTCCCAAAAGAAGAGGAATAACTGGCCAATAAGTATGAGGAAAAATACTCAACATCTTTAGTCTTCAGGGAAATGCAAATCCAAACTACAGTGATCTTCCACTCCACTCCAGTAAGAATGGTTATCATCAAGAACATAACCCATAAATGCTGGCAAGGATACAGGGAGAAGAAGCCCTCTGCACTGTTGGTGGGAATGTAAACTAGTACAGCAATGATGGACATCAGTATAGAGGTTTCTCAAAAAATTAAAAATAGTGATACCATTTGATCCTTGGTGTATTTCCACAACAAAGTCAGCATACAATAGTGATACCTACCCATGTTTAGTGTGGTGCAATTTGCAATAGCTAAGCTGTGGAAACAGCCTATGTGCTCATCAATAGATGAATGGATAAAGAAATGTGGTATTTATACACAATGGAGGTTTATTCAGCCATAAAGAAGAAAAAAAACATATGTCCTTTGCAGGAAAATTGATGAAACTGGAGATCATCATGTTAAGCAAAATAAGCCAGACAGAAAGTCAAATATCGCATGTTTTCTCTTATATGTGTAATCTAACAACAAAAAGAGAGAGATGGCAAGAAAGTCGAAAGGAACTACCAGATTGAAGGGGATGGGAGAGGGAAGTGGAAGGAGGGTGACAGGGAAGGAAAATGATCAAACTCTGTAAAGTATGCTACATGCATGTACAGAATATACCAAACGAACCCAGTCTTCTGTATAACTAATATGTAGTTTTAAAAAGTTGCTGTAAGAGCTGTGAAGGAAGAGTGGGGTGTTCTGAGGATGTGGTAGGACTCAGCCCTCTGGAGCTGTCAGGAAGCGCTTCCTCAAGGAAGTGACATGGGCTGAACCTCTGGAGAGATGACGGAGTGGAATTAATTAGGGCAGGCGGGAGGCACTGCAGGGGGGAAAAGGAGCCAGAATCTGTGCAGGCCTGAGGGACAGGCTTGAGGACAGCAAAGGCAGGGAGAGGATGGCCCAGAGAGGTGGTAGAGGGATGGGAGGCGGCAGACATCTGCATTTGAGAGTCACGCAGTTCGCTTTAGAGAGAGAAAGGAGGGAAGAGAATTAAGGTGATGAAAATGAAGGGGTAAATATATGTCCCCCACCAGGTGAAAGTTGGAGTCACCAATTTTGGGGCAGGTCAGATAGGTATAGTAGAGCAAGCCTGTGAAAGGCAAAAGGGAGTGGTAGGGTTTGTGGACAACTAAAGGATAAATATATATACCACACACAAAGGCATCTGAATTTGAAATATGTCAAGACTTGCTATTGACCAAAGCAAAATTTGATAGAGTTTGGAGTCTCTGATGTTAAAGAGATAGTTGCCCAGAAACAAAAAGAGTGGGGAAAGAGAGCTGAGAACTGTTTAGCCATAGAGACCGGAAAAGAGCCAAGAAAGCACTTCCGGTCTGGTTTCCTATGACCGGCAGATCATCTGCGCGTCTCTCATGCCCTTCTTTGTGACCTCTCCAGCTTTCTTCCAAGGACCCACCTGTCCCCAGAGCCACACACTGTCCCCAAAAGCAGAGTGAAGAGCCGGATGGCAACTGTTAACTTATGAATGGTGAGATGGGGAAAGGCCCCTGTACAACCCCACCACCACCACCACCACCACCACCAAGGGGGAGTTGTCCACTGTCTGTGGCAGCCCTGGTCCTCCATACTCAGTGAGATGACCACTTGGTTCAAGAGCGGCCAGAGCCAGGGAGCTCAACTTCAGCTACTAGGGAAGAGGACTCTTCCTTTCCTGATGGACTATAGCATGAGAGGACACGAAGCTTGGGCTGCTACATCGGCCTTGTCCACACAGGGGACCTGTCAGGATGGAGCCAATGCACGTGAAGGCACAGCCAAGACAGAGAAACTGAGTCCAGGTGGCACCATTCGAGCATTTGAGTCCAGCTATACTGAGCCAGTCCTACCCCAGGGACTTGTAAGCTTTAGGAGAAGATTAATGACCAGTTTTCCCGAAGTCAGTCTGGGGTTTAGGTGTTTTCCGTCTCTAGTTAGCATTTAGCCAAACAAAAAGCAATGTGGCTGCTTCTAGAGTATGATTCTAGTAGAATCTGTCCCATTATTTCACAGTCACATTTTATTATATCCTCATGA